AGCATACGAAATGTGATCTATGTTTAAAATCAATTGTATTTCTTAGTGAAAGAACGCATAATGGAATAAAAAATAAAATTAAAAAGCGGGAAAAGGTTTCAAATTTCAAGACCGCTTTATTCTCTTTAATATTAAGTTATAATTTTAAAACTCGAACCGAAGGTGGTCCTCTACAAGCCGAAACACCCCTCCAAAGTATCTTCTTATAGATCGATTAGGGAGGTCGCTATGGCTCCTTAAATCTTTTGCTTAGCTAGCCGGGAGAAGGTACTTGAAGCTATGTAGTAGCACGCTCGCCGTGTAAACGTGGTCCAACGGTTGAGACCATGTGCTTGTGAAATACGCCTGGGGCGAGAATGGAAGGGTTCGAACCCCGGCTGTGGTCGATTTTGAAAATATTTTCTTTTTTTTCTTTTGATTATTTTACATTACATTATTTATTAATTGTGTTTTTCGATAAATTAAAGGATCCTACATAAAAAAAATTATTTTCCTTTATTCGGGAATCTTCAAATAACACTTAAAAATTGGAAAAATCCCGGAAAATTAGTTTATTTATGTTATCTTATTTTTTTTATTCTTGTTTTACAATATTTTCACTATAGTTTAGCATACGAAATGTGTTCTATGTATAAAATCAATTGTCTTTCTTAGTGAAAAAACGCATAATGGAATAAATGATAAAATAAAATAAAATGGCGGGAAAAAGTTTCAAATTTCAAGACCGCTTAACTCCCTTTAATATTAAGTTATAATTTTAAATTTCGAACCGAAGGTGGTCCCCTTCAAACCGAAACACCCCTCCAAAGTATCTTTTTATAGATCGATTAGGGGGGTCGCTATGGCTCCTTAAATCTTTTGTTTAGCTAGCCGGAAGAGGGTATTTGAAGCTATGTAGTAGCACGCTCGCCGTGTAAGCGTGGTCCAACGGCTAAGACCATGAGCTTGTGAAATACGCCTCGAGCGAGAGGGGAAGGGTTCGAACCCCGGCTGTGGTCGATTTTTAAAATTTCTTCTTTTTTTTCTCTTTTGTTTATATTAATTCCCTAGTATAAAAGACATGTTAATTCGATTCTATGTTGATGAAGGTTGACATAGTCGAATACTCCCTCCCCACATTGGTGACATGGACGTGATGTTAGCTTTGATTTGAATATGCCTAATTCGATGGATATGGTCCACATTGAAAAGTTGAATTGCTACTTGTGACATGATCCACCTATCTCGCGCTGTTGCTACTCTGTCTCAACATTGGCCTGTATATACATTAGAGGCGGATCCAGAAATTTTTCCGGGGGGTGGGGGTTCGTTTTTAAAAAAAAAAAATTGGCAAATCTGTCAATGATTTTTTTCAATATCCAAATCTAGGTGTAGGGTAAACTAACCAGTGAAGGAACACTTAAGCTTCGCTTGCCTTTTAAGAAATCGTATTAATTTCAAAATTCGTAATATCAATTAAATGACTGTGTCAACATATTTGTTACTAATTGCAAACTATGCAAAAAAAATTTTGAGAACTTACATAATATTGTTTTAAAGTTTTGGTGGTTCAAATAACAAGTAGTAAGAAGAGCCAGTGAAGGAACAGCTCTTAAAAGTGAAGGAACACAAAATTGCCCAGTGAAGGAACACTTTAATTTTGGTTATTTTTTAATGCTCTTTATGAATTTTTTAGCCATAGAAATACAGTCGGACATCTATTTAACGAACTTCCATTCTACGAATTTCCTTATCTTACGAATTTTTTCGAGGAACCAAGAGCATTTTGGAAATTTTTTTGTAAAATAACTTCCATATAGCGAAGTGAATTTTCTATTTAACGAACTTTTCATTGAGATCCACTTTCCAAAATATTTCTTAACATTTAAAACTTGTTAAAGCAATTTATGGGGAAATGACCTTGAATTAATTTTCGAAGCCACTGCTTTATGAAATGTATTACTGTTTTGTCTAAAAATTATCTTAGAGAAAGCAGTAAATTCCCTTTCCCTTTTCACTTCAAACGAACTCACTCAAACTTCCCCGCACTTCAATCGAAAAACTCACTTCAAATTAACGGATTTCATCCGTAGCAATTTAACTTAACGCAAGTGGTAATGTATGTTTAAAATTACTTTTATAATAAATGCAACTATATTTTTATACATAAATTTATACTTTTTTTAGTTGAAAATGTATATAGCATGATAGTGTAACACTGGATAATGTTTTGCTCTATTCTTGCTTTCCATGCAGATTTCTTTTATGGTTAAGATTTATATGATAAATAGTAGATACTAGTTTACAAGATAAAAGTGTATCAGTTGCTATTTTAATTATGTCTCGTGTTTAAGAATTTAAAACCTGTTTTGTGTTGTTTAAGTATTTTAAGTGGTGATTTTCTATTTAACGAATTTTCCATATAACGAGCTTATTATTGGTATTTAGTTATTTTGTTAAATAGAGGTCCGACTAAAAACAAGACTATTTGTGAAATTATAAGATACAAGTACCAGTGGCGTATCTAGGGTATGGCAAAAAGTTGGTCCTCTACAAACCAAAACACCCTTCCAAAGTATATTTTTATAGATCGATTAGGGGGGTCGTTATGGCTCCTTAAATCTTTTGTTTAGCTAGCCGGGAGAGGGTACTTGAAGCTATGTAGTAGCACAATCGCCGTGAAAGCGTGGTTAAACGGCTAAGACCATGTGCTTGTGAAATACGCGTGGAGCGTGAGAGGAAGGGTTCGAACCCCGGGTGTGGGCGATTTTTAAAATTTTTTCTTTTGTTTATTTTGCATTATATTATTTATTTAATGTGCTTTTCGATAAATTAAAGGATCCTATGTAAAAAAAATAATTTTCTTTTATTCGGGAATCTTCAAATAATGCTTGAAAACTGGAAAAATCCCAGAAAATATGTTTATTTATATTATTTTTTTTTAAACTCGTTTTACAATATTTTCACTATAGTTTAGCATACGAAATGTGTTCTATGTATAAAATCAATTGTATTTCTTAGTGCAAGAACGCATAATGGAATTAAAAAAAAAATATATATAAAATGGCGGGGAAAAGTTTCAATTTCAAGACCGCTTAACTCCCTTGAATATTAAGTTATAATTTTAAAACTCGAACCGAAGTTGGTCCTCTACGAGCCTAAACACCCCTCCAAAATATCTTTTTATAGATCGATTAGGGGGGTCGCTATGTCTCCTTAAATCTTTTGTTTAGCTAGCCGGGAGAGGTTGCTTGAAGCTATGCAGTAGCACGATCGCCGAGTAAGCGTGGTCAAACGGCTACGACCATGTGCTTGTGAAATACGCCTGGAGCGGGAGAGGAAGGGTTCGAACCCCGGGTGTGGTCGATTTTTAAAATTTTCTCTTTTGTTTATATTACGTTAAAATATTTATTTAATGTGCTTTTCGATAAATTAAAGGATCCTATATAAAAAAAATAATTTTATTTTATCCGGGAATCTTCAAATAATGCTTAAAAACTGGAAAAATCCCTGAAAATAAGTTTATTTATATTATATTATTTTTTTTAAACTCGTTTTACAATATTTTCGGTTTAGCATACGAAATGAAATGTGTTCTATGTATAAAATCAATTGTCTTTCTTAGTTAAAGAACGCATAATGGAATAAAAAATAAAATAAAATAAAATTGCGAGGAAAAAGTATCGAATTTCAAGACCGCTTAATTCCCTTTAATAATAAGTTATAATTTTAAAACTCGAACCGAAGGTGGTCCTCTACAAGCCTAAACGCCCCTCCAAAGTATCTTTTTATGGATCGATCAGGGGGGTAACTATGGCTCCTTAAATTTTTTGTTTAGCTAGCCGGGAGAAGGTACTTGAAGCTTTGTAGTAGCACGATCGCCATGTAAGCGTGGTTCAACGACTAAGATCATGTGCTTGTGAAATACGCCTGGAGGAAAAGGGGAAGGGTTTGAACCCGGGCTGTGGTCGATTTTGAAATTTTTTTCTTTTTTTTTTCTCTTTTGTTTTTTTACTTTATATTATTTACTTAATGTGTGTTTCGATAAATTAAAGGATCCTATATAAAAAAAAATAATTTTCTTTTATTCGGGAATCTTCAAATAACGCTTGAAAACTGGAAAAATCCCGGAAAATTAGTTTATTTATATTATATTATTTTTTTTAACTCGTTTTACAATATTATCACGATAGTTTGGCATACGAAATCTGCTCTATGTATAAAATCAATTGTCTTTCTTAGTGCAAGCTTGCGCAAAGGAATAAAAAATAAAATAAGATAAAATGGCGGGAAAAAGTTTCAAATTTCAAGACGGCTTAACTCCCTTTAATATTAAGTTATAATTTTAAAACTCGAACCGAAGGTGGGCCTCTACAAGCCGAAACACCCCTCCAAAGTATATTTTTATAGATCGATTATGGGGGTCGCTATGACTCCTTAAATCTTTTGTTTAGCTAGCCGGGAGAGGGTTCTTGAAGCTTTGTAGTAGCACGATCGCCGTAGAAGCCATGTCCAACGGCTAAGACCATGTGCTTGTGAAATACGCCACGAGCGAGAGGGGAAGGGTTCGAGCCCCGGCTGTGGTCGATTTTTAAAAATTTTTCTTTTTTTCTTCTCTTTTGTTTATATTACATTATATTATTTATTTAATGTGTTTTTCGATATATTAAAGGATCCTATATAAAGAAAAATAATTTTATTTTATTCGGGAATCTTCAAATAACGCTTTAAAACTGGAAAAATCAGTTGAGACTAGTGATGTCGAAGTTCACCCTGACATCCGTTTGGTTTAGTGATTGATCTTTCTATCTTTATGTCCTTGTGTGAGTATACACAAGCAAAGGAGTGGATACAAGTTTCTATATTCATTGTCTACGATGTGTTTCGATTGGTTTGAATAAATTATCAAACCGAGCACGCGCATTAGTAAAAATGTGCCAAGCAAAAATGCCATTCTAGTATGCGTTACTAATCGATTAAGTGATAAATATGAAAACGATGGGGCAATTGAGCAATTAAATGTCTCTATTTATTAAAAATTCGGTCAGCCAAGCAACAGCTATTCACTTCTAAAAATGTAAATTCCTAGGGTCCATCATGTTACAAACCTAATTATAGAGCCACAGAGCTATAAGCTAAGGCAAAGATCCCTTCGCACTTTTCTACAACAATTCTACAATCATCTAAAGCCTGTACCAAAGTCAATACTTGACTTAACTTATTCGTGTAAAATATAAAATCTAGTTATATAAAGAAATGCTGCGACATTCATGGTGTGTTATTTTCTTTATTTATCTCTATAATTATTTTTACTATTTTACAAAGTACTTTTAATAAGCTTGTTATGGCTGTAAAGCGATGATGTGAACAATGTGTCTTTTTCCTGAATAGAAAAAAATAAGCTCTGTATAATCTTGTTTCTTGAATTCGTAATTATTTTCATCAGGGGGTTTATCATAAATTTAACTTTATGCATTTTTCTTATCATATTTTGCATATTTCAATCTTCATTTTATTATGTTGTGATTACAAAAATTTTAAAAATTAGTGCTTATATAATACAATGCTTCAGCTTATTTTTTTAATTGCTGTGTTCTTAATGTGAAAAAAAATTATCCAACTTTGACTCCATTTGAGTTTTATTAATTACATGAATCTAGCTTACATTGTGCATAGGAATTTTAAAAATAATTTTTTTTTCTATAAATGTTGGTGTTTAAATAAAAAAAATCCTCAACTTAGTTGCATTTTTGTCGATTACTCAACCTAATTAAAAAATAACCATGTGCAACATGATTTACATTTATTGTGTATAATGAGTCAAAATTTGAAGTAAATCAGTTATAAATTGTACTAGTCAGAGATGCAGCAAGTAAGAGAAACAAAGTTCCCAGTAAATTGAATTTAAAGTTTTGTGATCCTTGTACGAAAATCAATTCAGTATTTTGATACAATAATTTTGAAAGGATATTACTGTAGAAAAATACAATACTTTTTTTTTAATTTTATTTTTACTGTATTTTATTTCTTTAAGTAGAGCAAATTATGCTTTTTTTTTAGTTTGCTATTTGCAAAAGTAATCTGAGTTCTGTATATTGTTCTGTGGAAGAATAAAAGAATGTACTAATTTTTAACTGCTCAATTTTTTTACAAAAACCTTGGAAAGTGTTTATATTTACCTGGAAAATAACCTTATAATTGTCACTAACAGTAATCAGTTATGGATATTCGAGTTAAAAAATTCTAACATCTATTACTTTTATAAAATTCCTCTTTTTAATGAAATTTTTCCATGTTCCCATTTTCATTCTATTATGTTTTTGCCCTTAAACTGTAATATTTGACATTACAAATAAATAAAATAAAAAAATCCAAGTTTTCTGATGAAAAATAACATTATAAGATTAAATATGATATGAATTTTCATTAAAATTTATTTGATATACCTGGAAAAGTCTTAATTTTTGTTCTGAAATTGAGTGGAAATCTTGAGAAAAGGAAAACAAATATATTTACTTCCCTAAGAAAAAATCTTTCTGCAAGAACTCAATAACACTTCGTGGCAATGTTGCTGTGTTGTCACAATTCTGCCATGGGGAAATATAAATGTTTTGTCTCTGTTTATTTAATTTCACTATGTTAATCTTGTATTTTTTTCCAGTTTCCATGCTTGCAATGTTGTTGAGCTGTGTAAATTTTCTTCTTTACTATCAAAGCATATAGTCTTGGACAAAAGGTAAGCCTTCTTATGTTTCTCATTTTTATTTTTAGTTATATTTATCTAATAATTGTTTTCATTTTATTTGAAAACAGTTATTTAAAAGCTGGGATACCTTTAAAAAAATTACATACTTTATTATGGGAAGAGTGAAATAAAAATGGTGAATTCAGTCCATTCTGTGCCCGGGGGTAATATAGGGGACAAGTAGGTACCTATCCAACACGTCCTAGAAGAGAGGAAGCCTTAGCACGGATCTATTTAGTAGTCCGGCATAACGAACATAACAGCGCATTGGAGAAAAAATAAGAAAGATGTCGCTATGTTTGGATTACAAAACTGCATAGTGGAGGGAAGCTACAAAAGATGTTACGTTTAGATTACTAAAAATTGTGTGTAGCGTCTTTAAAAAGTGCTTATTTTCGTTTTTTAAAAGCCCTTAAAGAGGCTTTTTACATGGGGTGTTTTTAAAAAGTGCTTAATTTTCCCTTTTTGAAAATGTGATTTTTTTTTTCTTAACCATGTCAATTTTCACTGCATATTATGCAAAAGCATAGTTTTCACATTGTTCTATTCAAGATTTTCACTATTCATTCAACCACAATCCATTTCAACGTACCATTGGTCCATAACCTATGAAAACGCCTAGTATTTTCCATGTTTGATAAAATACTTGTGAATCCGCATGTGCGTCTACCTAGCTGGGGTCGATGAGATTCTTGTAAGATAATTTCAGGCTTCGTTTTCCACCCGCTGAAATTGAACCGAAAAATCGCTTGATCCTATGTTGACTAATATCAGTGTTTTCACTACAGTGCGAGAACGCGAGAATCTCGCATATTTTTTTCTTTTCTCGCATTAAAAAATGATTAGCGCGAGAAATTCGCGCATTCTATAAATCAATTTCAAAATTCGCGAATTTCTCGCATTTTGGAAAAAGCTTCGAATTACGCCATTTAGAATAAANGCTTTTTTTTTAATGGAATTTAGTAAAATCCTTTAGCAAAAATGCGAAAATGCTTTGTTGAATTTTAGCATTTTTGAGGGGTCTTTTCGCATTTTGCGAAAAAAGCTACCGCAGCGGAAACCCTGCCACAATCCATTTCGATGTACCATTGGTCCATAACCTATGAAAACGCCTAGTATTTTCCATGTTTGATGAAATACTTGTGAATCCGCATGTGCGTCTACCTAGCTGGGGTCGATGAGATTCTTGTAAGATAATTTCAGGCTTTGTTTTCCACCCGCTGAAATTGAACCGAAAAATCTCTTGATCCTATGGTGACTAATATAATCAATAAAAGGAGTTCTTTGTCAGAAACTAGTTATTTTATCATGATCATGTAAATTCTTTGAGAATTATTTTGTCCGTGTATATAGTGCTCAAAAAGTACTTAAAAGGTGCTTATTTTTTGTTGAGAGATTTGGCTACACACTCTGCTGAAGGGTTAAATTTCTTGCTTATTGTAACCTGCACAGAGGTCCTCTAGGAGGTATTGACTCATCCCAGGTCAATCCTTTGCAATAACATTTTATAAAATATGTTTCATTAACTAAGAATGTAACTTTATCAAAATTTCAATAATTTCAGATGTTTCCACAAATATGATGAAGATAATTCTTCTCGTAACAGTGGTTTTAAAAGGAGACAGTTTAATAAGCCTGGTTTCAAATACAACAAACAATCTGTGAACAGAAACTTTTTAAACCAAAATTCTAGATTCAATCAAAGTTTGGGACAAGAGTTAAAGCAAGCTACATTTAACGAATGTGATTTGGAGCCTATTGAAAAGTATCTGTATGTTGAACATGCCAATGTCACTCAACGATCTGATGTAAGTAATTATCAAGATTACATTTTTAGCTGTCAAAACTGATTTTTGAAAAATATCAAAAATAGATTAAAACAGTAAAAAACAAGTTTTTGAAGTAACAAGTTTAAAAGACCAGTTTAATAACTGTGGGAAACCTTTGATGATAGTCATAAAATCTTGCTTTATGTAATTTTCTTTGCAACATCTTTTAAACATTAAAACTTTACAAATGTATGAATATATAATCTATTTTATATGGAATATTAATGTGTTTATTGTCACAATACAGTGAAATAGGTCTTTTCTTACAACAAAATTCTGAGACAAATTGGACAGAGATGAAAGGTTAAAAGTAAACAGGTTATGTAAGCAAACGAAATATTCTGTATTTTTGTTTTAATGTATAATGCTTATGTGGGTAGGTAAATTTAGAGCTATATTTTAGTTGTAATGATTAACACATGAGTAAGCTTTATTTTATTTTATAAATAGATATCAATCAGACAATGTTATTTGTGATTTAATCTTTTTTTTAAAAAAAATCTTTGGTATACTTCTTTCAATTATACATGCCTTATGAGTTTTTCCCTCCATTTTTCTAATCTTTTGCTTTGGTTTTTATTCATTTTATAAGTTAATGTTAGAGTAAAGGACTCAAAACCAAACTTTGAAATCAGTAGTCAAAACTAAGCCGTTGCAACTATCATCATTTGTGGTTTTCGTCTCCATGTAACGCAAATATGGGTTAGTTCCATCACAACATCATCAGCTAAGCATTTTTTGAAGGGGGTACCACCCTGCTTGCCCTTTGATCCCCGTAAATATCACACTTTTTGTAAAAATAACCCATTCCCGAATAACACATTCCATTTTGGAGAAAATTAATTCACTGTTTAAATTTATAATTACACATGGGTAAAATTATATGTGTTTATAGGTTTAATTCTAAATACTATTACAAATATTTAATTTCTTGGGATTATTCTCAACTTGTTAAATTTTTACAAGTATCTCTTTTTTCAGGAGGGGATATTAATAAATTTTTGAAAAACTAATTTTTTTAATAAATAACTTTTTATTAAAAAAAATGCACCTTTAACTGTTCATTTTCTCATTTTACTTTAAATTATACAAAAAGACTTTCAGGGTATTTCTTAATTAATCATTTTTTTTGGGTAGGGGGGGGTTACATTTTTTTAAAAATATGCATAGAGATTATCTTTTAACATGCCTTTATTTATTTTTATAAACAATAAATTTTTCTCCTATTTAGATGAGATAGAATTACTTTTTGAAACATATACTTAAAAAAGAGTACGACAGTAATTTAAAAATTGTTGAGGATAAAATTAAGTTATTACATAATATTGCACATTTTGATGCATTTTTACAGTGTTAAGTAAGAGCCCTGCCTGTTTTGATCCTAGGAAGAACTCCGCTATCATGGTCGCTACTTTTTTCTTTTCTGCAGTAATGTGCTTGTTTAATTAGTGACTGTAATAAAAATTCACTAATTTGTATTCAATTTAATGTAGTAAACTTTTAACTTAATTTCATTTCATTTATCAGCTATTTACACTAGCTTATGTATAAATGATGCGCAGTTAAAAAAAATAAACTACTTTAAATGATACAAATTCGTTTAGGTATTTAAGACTAAAAAATCTATATTGCGTGAAAAATAGTATTTAATTATTTATTTAGAAACATATTTTTATTTGTTTTATTATTTACTTATTGATTTATCTATTTTATTTACTGATGTATTTTTTTTCTAATTTTTATGTTTGAACTGGCAGACAATCACAGCTGTGGAGTTGACGTTAAAAATTGTGATTGTCTACTTTTCCTGTTAGTTACAAGATATTGGTTCAACGAAAAAGTTTTTGCTCTAATGACAATTATTTTGATAAGCATTTATAATTTTTTCTACTAAATTATTTTGCTAATTATTTAAACTAGTTCATTAAACTAATTAACTTAAAATTGAATATTATTTATAAAGAATAAATAGATTTGCATAAATTGAAATACATAATTTGATTACATAAATTGATTGCATAAATGGTTTACATAAACTGAAATGAAATAAATTGAAAAAATTGAAATTGAATATTTACTTAGTTCTAATAAATTAATACTTCCTAAGAATCTTTGAAAATTTTGTCAAGCTTAAGTAGGATCCCTTGCTCTGATTCATTTAAACAAATATTCTATTTGTAACAAATATATTTTTTCATTACTTGAGAAGTGTCAATGTTTACATTCTTTACTTTTTTATGTTCTTGCAAAAACAATAAGTAAATAAATATTACTTGTTAATTTTAGGAAGAAACTGCATTTTATAGAAAAGATTCCAACATCACAATTACTGGATCAGATGTTCCCAAACCGATATTAAATTTTGAAGAATTGTGCTTGCCTGGTAATTTTTAAATAATATTTCCTTTTCTATTTAAAATCCACACTTATACTTTATTATTTTAGTTCTTTATTGTACAGAGTATTGAAAAACTGTAAAGAAAAGAATATATGTGCGTGCAGGGATGTATGCATCTGTGAAGATTGAAAATTATTATGACAACAGGCCATTCTTCTTGGCCGTGCAAGCCCAAACAGTCCCTACAAGTTTTTTATTTATTTTCCCATCAGAATCTATTAGATGTTTGTTGTTTCCAATAAGTCACTTTTAATATTTTTAAATCTTTCTGAACTTCGTCAACCATCTGAGTTCTCTGTTTTTTCTAATGTTCAATGGTAACAAACCCTATGTTATGAATTTGTTCACATTGAAGCCAAAAAAAAAGTTAAGTTCAAGCAGCTTTTTAGTTGAATTAATCAGAAAAGACAGCATTTTTTGGCAATTGAAATCAAGCTAATTATTTTTTTTTTTAATTACTGATTTAAATCAATTGATTTTTTTTTAAAAAAAATCTGTTGATTTAAAAAGAATTAAAGGATTTATGTAGAAAATAGTTTTCTAATCTGATTGTATTGATATTGAGGATTTTTTTTCGTAGAGATTTTTTTTTCTTTCTTCCCTGTTTAAACTAATTTATTCATCATTTGAAATCTAACTGACAAATATAGCATAAATAATACTGTTACATAACAGCCAACTCTCTGGTAAATTTTGTTTTCAAATTTCTCATGGTTTGGTCAAAAAAATTCTGGTTTTTATGCGTTTTAGATAATTTTCTAAAATTAGGATTCCTCTAATTTCTAAAATATCGATGCTTGTTTGAGTATTTTTAAAGAAAAAGTATTAGTGCTAAATAATGAAATAAGCATTGTGTACTGTTACCAATTTACCAAATAACATCTAAAATGAATGGAATGTCTTTTATCTTTCAATGTTAGGTGTTCAAAAATATAAAGAACATTAACCATACTTTAGTTTATTTATTGTCAATCATAAATGATAATCATTAAATAATTTAGATGCTACACATTTCTATTCATATTTTTTTCCCTTTGTGTAGATTTCTATAAACTATGCCATTATAATTTATTATTAACTAATAAGTTAATAATAAATTTATGAAATAATTTATGATTGATTTTAAATTAAATAATAAAAAAGTTGCTGTTTTTTCCTTTGATGCTTAAGTATGTCGAATTATTTCAGAAAATTTGAAGCGAGTAATTCTCGGTCAGGGTTATTCTGAGCCCACTGCCATACAAGCTCAGGGATGGCCTATTGCGATGAGTGGTAGAGATATGGTTGGAATTTCTCAAACAGGATCAGGAAAAACTTTAGTTGTATGTTATTTTTTTATTTATAGATTAATTTGTAACATTTTCATCATTCTGTATGTTTTAAAGTACAGTCAGCCCTGCTTAAAGGAATACCATTGGTTCCAGCCAAATCTATTCAATTAAGCGGGTTATTCGATTAAAAAGGGAGTGCTTTATTCAATCTTAAATTATACATTTATGAGAAATTTTATTTTAGGATATTTAATGCATAGTGTAGTGTTTTGATTAAGTAGACTATATTTTATGATCAATAAACAATTGTAATTAAAATTGTCTGTGTTAGCATCATAAAATATAAATGTCATTAAAGTTTGTTTGAGTAGGCAATGATTTTTCTACTTAAAAGAAAGGCACACTGTACACTAGTGTGTTAGGTTTTTGAAACCTTTTCTTATCAAAGCTACTAGTGCACCAGCATGGGACTGTAAGTCTTGATATCATATATCAATACAATAGTGTGAGGAGCACTGAAAAAAAAAATTTACAAGAAATTTACAACAAATGAAACAGAACACATTAAGTAAAAATATCACATAAAAACAGAAAATAAAAAATAAAGAAAAACTGATTAAAACATAAAGCGAGTAGCAAATTCAAATTAGCTTACATGAACGGGAAATTTTTCAAGAATGATTTAAAATATTTTCGGAACAAGATTTCCAGATTATAGCCCAGATTATAGTCGCTTCTTCCGTCGATTCACAGGCTATATAGCTTGGGCAAAAATTTCCATTTTCAGTCAGTGCTTCTCTATAAATTATATCGTGGTTTAAAATATTTGGTCCCAAGTACGATTTTTTTTTTTAAAAAAATAAAAGGGAGGGTTTGCAAGATGGTGTTTTGAAAAATGACGTGAAATAAGTTCAATTTTAATGGATTACTCAAATCCAGGCAACCCAATTAAAAAATTCCTATGTGCAACAAAAATTACATTTGTTGTGAACATTGTGTCAAAATTTGATCTAAATCTGTTGAAAATTGTACTAGAGATATAGCAAGTAAGAGACGCTTAGTTCCCGAGTAATTCCGAACTGTGTTTAATGTTTTGTGATCCATGCACATAAAATTTTGCAACTATTTATAAGGTATCCATAAGCTGTTTCTCTATCATTTTCAGCTGTCTCAAGTCTTGCCCTTTCTTTTCTTGAACAACCCTCTTGTGACATCTTATATATTTTTAGAATAACAACCGAGATGTTTCTTCATTTTGAGAGCATATTCTTTGGCTGGTGGGCCTTCATTTATTTCTAATAATTCCACAAATGTCAATAAACCTTTTGCAAAAATTTAGAGACCCTGAAAATGCTTTATTTTCTTTCCTCAAAATTTCTAAAAGACTAATTTTATTCCTAAAGACTTAAATTGCATTTTATAATTGCTCTGTTTGCCATTTTGAGTGAATTTAAATTGTAATAAAATGTTACAATGCATGTTACAAACAAAATTCAAGTTAAATTAAATGGCATTGGGGCATTTTTCATAGCATTAGACCATTGATATGTATTATTTTGCATTTTTGGTCAATCATCTAAAGTATTTTATGGATATCATCTATACTAATTAAGTGTATTTCATATTTTTGTTCTTTCATAGTTTATGATTCCTGCTGTGGTGCATGCTCTTAATCAACCCTCGTTTAAAACAAACTGCAATGAATGTTCTCCACAGGTAAATCCGTATTTGTTTTCTTTATTGTAAGTGATATAAAAACCCAATTTTCTTTTATGATTTATTTTTTCAATCACTTAACATTTCAACCAACAATCGTTGTTGCATCTTTTGTTTTCCTGTACACATCTTATTTTAACCAGATCCTATAATGTTGATGACACCCTAGCAGATTCCCATGTTCAGAAATGCTACTGACTATAAAAGAAATAGACAAAAGATGTGATAACGATTGTTGGTTTAATAAATGTTAAGTGATTGAAAAAGAAGAAAACATTTCACTTCTTGTGCTAATGCGGAATTGTTACTGTTTGATAAAACGCCTCAAACATCATGTATGATCTGTTTGAATTAATTTACATAAATAGACTATTCTTGCTTTTTTCCAGGCTGTTCCATATTTTCTATTTAAGAAAAATTCATAATAAAATATTAAGGAGGGGTTATATTTCATTTCATTCGACCATTTATTTGCACATGAATGAACAGGGACCACAGACCTCTTATTATTCCTTCTTTTCCTTTTATTTTGGCTTCCCTCCTTTTTTTTCCTTATATTTCCTACTTTTTCTTTTTTTTTAAAAAATAAAAACATTTTCACTTTTCCCCTTTTGAACATAGTGACAGCCAAAGAAATGAATTAATGACTCAAGATCAATTATTGCAACTACATTTGTTTTTCAATTAATTCGTTTTGAATGTGGGTGTGAGGAGGGGGTAGAACATGAATAATTTTAGTACTTCAGTTTTTGTGTGTGCTTGCCAATTCATGTTTAACTGGAGTCGAGAAGGAATAAAATCTCGCAGCATAAAGATTGTGATACACGTGTCACGTTTTTTTTTTTTACGTAAGTTAAAAAGTTTTCAGTAAAATGGAACAAAATTTTTAGAGCAGTTTAAATTTAATTGCGAAAAATTTGATGCCATTTTCTAAGCAGTTTTTTAATTTTTTTAAATAAAGTTCAAAATGATATGGGGTTTTCTACAGATATAATTTTGCATCATAAAATAAAATATGATTGTATAAGGCATGAAAACATGCAAACGAAAATATGCTTTAAACGCTGGTGTCAGTTTTATTAAATCTTGTTTAATTTAATAGAACAAATTAAAAATTTATGGAAAATTCCTTAATTTGCTCTCTCTCTCTCTTCCGCCCTTTTTTTTTTGAAAGTATGAAAGCTACTTAAAAAAGTGTTTGTTGGAATTTTTAGTTTTTTTTTTTACTATCTTTAAAGTTACAGAAAAAATAAATAAATTATTTAACGCTTTTTAGCTTCTAAAATCTTAACAGTGAACGAAAAAAAGCATAATTTGTTCCTTAGTATAATCCAGTTAACAGATACACAGTTATTGAGAACCTCAAATTTGGAATCGAGATAGGTTGATTGATAATTAAAAATTAGTCAATCAAAACAAGGAAAAGTCTAGCGAATAATCAAACTATTTTGTGTTTTAATAATGAAACTCTATTTTTAATAGGTTCTTGTATTGGCTCCTACTAGGGAGCTTGTTCAGCAAATATATCAAGTGAGTGGTCCATTCTGTAGTGCCTCAAATCTTATTGCTGCTTGTGCATATGGTGGTGCATCTAGGAATGTTCAACTGCAATGCTTAAGGGGTATGTTCTATATTCAACTTTGCACGCTTTGAATACTATTAAAAACTGCTGTGTGCTGACTGTGTTTTTACCTAATACATATCTATAAATATCAACTTAACTGCTTCCATTACCAATTTGTTTGAAAAAAATACAAAAAATCAACATATTTTTTATTTTATTAATAAATACAAGGAACTAAAGCAAAACCTAATACTCAAGTTTTAAGTTGAATTCTTAATTTTTTTACGTGTAAAAAACATTCAATTTACCATCCGTTTACTATCCCAGAGTTATCTCGTGCAAATAAACAAAAGTTAAATATGAGTCTTTGTATGATAGTTTTTAAAACAAGGGGCAACACAAAGCGATACTTTCCAAACACCAGTAAAGTGATACGCCATTATTTTTAAACTTTTTTTTTTCATGTCAATTCAGTAACCATTATATATAAAATAGCATAAAACACATGTGCACTCCCACAATCCAACAGCAAAACTCGCAAACAAAGCATGGCAAACTTCCGATCACAGCAGATTTTTGTTTTGCTACGGGGCCTAATAAAGACGTGATAAGACAAAACGTACTGGCAAATTCAGCTGCACCTGATTTATCTCGGGATAATAAATATTTGCAAAATATGCATGCCCGATTTAACTTGGGGTAATCAGGGAAGCGATTTAAACAAATACCCTTTTCAAAATTTCAAATCTCATACAGTCAGAGATATAGCTAGGATTATCTTCAGAGAGTGAAAAAGAAAGTTTTTTTTTATAATGAAATTACTTTTAGATGAATGGAATTAAATAGTAAAACTACAATACTAACCCATTTCTCTCCCAGTGTTGCATCTCACGTGTTTGGTGTTTTTGTGTCCGCGTGCCATGAGATGGAGAGAAAGATTGCATCGTTGAAGTTGAATTTTTCCCTACTTGCACGATTTTTTTTTGTATTTCTGAACATAATGATGGCTCTACACAATTTCCTACCTTAAATTGAAATCATTTTGTAACTTCACTTTCATTAGTGTTTTGGGATAAATTTGGTTTTTTCATTCTTATGTCTAAGACTGCTGTTTTAACAGTAAGGTTTGAAAATCACTTTCAAAAATATTTTTAACCTTATTTTAATAATTATTATATGCAGATCTTGAGGTTAATAAATATGTTATCACATTTTTTTTTAAGATAGCGGGGATTGTAGGGAAAACTGGAGATCAGTGGATGGGACGAGAAAACTGGAGATCAGTGGATGGGACATCACATATTTCACCACCCATACCTGCCAAGTCTCCTGTTTTGTAACGAAGACTCCTGTATTTTACAACTATTTCCTGTCTACTTATATATTCTCCCATTTCTACGTATTTGTTGAAGAAATTTTTAAAAAACAATTTAAAATGTAAAAGTTTTGGAGATAAAATATCGACTGATGACAAGAATACTTCTCTTATTCCTCAACAGATGGTGCCATTGCCAGTACTGCAGTATGTTGAGTGGTAATAATTTATGTAGAGCCGTGATGGCTCAGGGGACAAAGCATTTACCTTCCAATGAGGTGAACTGAATTTGAATCTCAGGGATGACTGGTCGATACAAATTCCGTATCCAACTTGCACCAACCACAGTGCTGGCGTAAAAATATCCAAAGTGGGTTAGAGTTCCCTTGCCGTCAGGTTAACGTGAGAGGTTTTTATGGTTTTCGTCTCCATGTAACGCAAATATGGGTTAGTTCCATCAAGAAGCCAAGATTCCATCAAGAACCACAAAGGTTAATTTCTCCCAATACTTCATCCAACCATTGTCTTCTAAATTGGGGTTCAAGATTACAAGGTTACAGAGTTGAACATAAGTAGTTGTAAACCTGAAAATTAGGTCTGCTGTTCAATGACGATTACAAAATAAAATATCTCCATAAAAATTCAGAAAAGGCTGTTCAATGATGGTTATAAAATATAAATTAGTTTAGGTAATTATATATAATGGCTTAAAAAATCTTCTTTAGATTAAGATTTATATACATATTTTTTACTTCGCTAAGTGTAAATGCTTATATTATTTCCAATTTTGAATTTCTCATTTTCACTTACATGATTATGTAAGATGTATCAAAACTTTACTCGTAGCCTAAAGAATGTCGCTAATAAAATCTGTTATTCTATTTCTCCAATGTCGGCAGGCGTGACCACCAATAAGTCGAGCAAAAGATACTGCTTGCTGACGAAGATAGTTTGCATTTATGAGAGAACATATATTAATTTTCTGCAATAAAAAAAAAAAAATCTGACAGCGAAAGTTACAGACTTCACAAGGATGAGAATGTAAAGAGATTTGTACTACTTTTTCTCATTTTGAGTAAGAAATGAAATGAAACACTTCAATAAAATATTGTATTTTCATTAAAGTTTTAATCATTATTACATTTGTAATCACAAACAAAATTTTGTTCTTCAAGAGAACAAAATTTTGTTTTCTTTCTGCAATTTCATTTATTAGTTTTTAAGCTGTTGAAAACTTTCTGTATTGTGTCGTATTGCTATAGGGGAGTTTAATACAATCGAGAAAATGTATCTGATTTGTTAGTGCTTCGGGCACACAATTAAGTCAATTATTAGTGTAATACATTTTTAATATAAATAATACTACTAGTGTCAAAAATGCAGAAGCTGTCAATGTGAAATTGGTCTTCCTACTTTTTACTCAACACTTGCCGTTCAAGCATAAAAATTTTCATGACATAGCATTTTTAAGAATGAAGGAAATAGTCCCATTTATGCACATGGGGATTTCATAAGGATTTATATATTTATGATGATATATATATATAGAATCCTTGTCAAAAATTACATGGAAATAGTTTAATGAGGATCTCAAATTGTTATTTAAGCTAAAATACTATCTCAAATTGTTGAATTGTGCATAGGAGATAGTTTAATTGCCTGAGAAACTTCCCACTGACAATAAAACTCGGTCCCGCCTTCTTTAGTAGTGATTCTTCTCAAATATTTATTGAAATGATTTTAGGAGCTCATCTATGCATCGCTACCCCTGGGAGGCTGATTGATTTTGTATCTGAAGGTGTGGTCAACCTTAAGAGGTGTACTTATTTAGTTCTTGATGAAGCAGATAGAATGTTGGATATGGGTTTCGAGCCTCAAATAAGACAGATTGTTGGACAGCTCAGGGTAAGCTAATAAAAAACTTTATATATTCCTGATTTTTGTGTGGACATCCTTTTTTCTACCAGTGTCAGCTTTAAAATGACTAAATCAAGATACAGTCGGACCTCAGTTTGGCGAACCCCAAATTAACTAATTTTGCTTCCTACCCGACTAAAATGAAGGCAACAACCTCAATTTAAGGAATAAAAAGCCCCTAACTAACGAATTAGTCCGGCGTTCTGAAATAAAATTGGGTTAGAAAAACTATGGATTGCTTTTCAGATGATTACAGTGTTCATCCTGTCGAAACACAAAACAACTTTTTTTTGTATTCATCAATTTTAGACATGAGTTGTCTCTTTAAACCTCACAGTGCGTACGAATAATGATTGAGTGTAACCTGTGAGATCAGGAAATTCCTTTCTTATCCATCCCTTTCTATATTTCATTGAAGTAAAGTGTGTTGGACATTCATTTTTGTTAAACATTTGATTTTTCAGAGTTTGTGAAACGTTGTAGATTGTTAAAAACGAAAATGTTTATTTAAAAAATTTAGATTAAGATTTATATACATATTTTTTACATTGCTAAATGTAAGTGCTTATATTATTTCCAATTGTGAATTTCTCTTTTTGACTTACATGATTATGCATGTTGTATCAAAACTGAACTCGTAGCCTAAAAGATGTCTAAAATCTCCATTATTTTATTATTCCAATGTTGGCAGGTAATAGGTATGCAAAAGTAAACTAGCAAAGAAACAATAGGATAATTCAAAGCAAATTAACTTCTGTACAGTACAGAAATAAAAAAGTTATTTATTTATAATTTAGTGAGTGTGTATGAACTTCTAATTGCAGCCAGATCGACAGACGCTGATGTGGAGTGCGACGTGGCCCCAGGAAATCCAAAGTTTGGCCGAAGACTTCCTAAAAGATTACGTAAAAGTGACCGTGGGTGAGGGGAGACTCGTGGCAAATCCTAAAATAAAACAAAACATATACATTGTGGAAGAATTTGATAAAGAAGACAAGTAAGACATTTATTTTTCACATTTAATGAGACAATTAAATTTAAATTCATTGCGTTTAGTGTCCTTTTACACGAAAAGACATTTCCGCGAAAAAAATATGATAAATGTTTGTATCTTAGTTTGAATACGTAAGTATTTACCACAGGATGTGTATCGTTTTTAAAAAGTGCTTGAAGGTGCTGATTTTCGTTTCTTAAAATCCCTTGAAGGTGCTTTTTTCAATAGGTGTTTTTAAAGCTACTTAATTTTTCCTTTTCCAAAATGAGATATATTTTCTTAACCATGTCAATATCGGCCACAAATTATACAAAAAGCGTGCTTTTCATATAGTTCTATTGAACATTTTCACTATACATTCAACCACAATCCATATCGATGGACGGTCACTCCGTAGTGTATGAAAACGGCAATCATTTTGCATGTTTAATGAAATACTTGCATGTGCATATGTACTGGATTCAGTGGGAAGGATTCTTGTACTCTCATGTGCAACTCTGCTGCAGTTTGCAAGATTTTCTCAATTTCAGGCTTAATTTTTCACCCTCTGAAATCGAACCAATAAACATCTCGAATTTTCGCTTATTATGGAGATTGATTGAACATTGTCAAATTCGCCGTTGCAGAATCACGGTGACACAGCGACATTGTCGCAGAATGATACCAAATTGCAGAAAGATTTTATTTTTCGGAAGTAAAAAATTTTGTTTCCCAGAAATTTTCCTAAGATTTTCATTTTTCTATTCTCATTTAAGAATAGTGAGAAACAAAGAATAATGAAGTAAAAAATTTTCTTTTCTTTTCTGGAGAAATTTTTGTTCTACTTTTTTATGCAGTAATTGCTATTGATTTCCACATAGTTTTTAAAATCCTATATTTTTAATACAATATTCTTTACAGCTAAATCTCAGAATGAAAACATACATTTAGTATTGCATTTAGTGTAAATTAGAAATAACCCTTTTTTCAAGAATTCGATTCGCATGATTTTGCTCGATTCGCATGTCGATCTCGATCTTTTTCTTCAGTAATTGCAGCTACAGATTTCCCAATTTTTTATTAATTTGATGAAGATATACAAAGGGGGGGATAATTAGTTTGTTTTCCCCTTAACAAAATGCAAGAAGATCGTTAATAATATTAAAATGAAAAAATATTACATATTCGATTAAGAAGATTATTTTATTATCCGGCCTGGGTTTACAAAAATCGCCTGGTACTTCTTTGGCCAGCCCTATTAATCAATACAATTATATCAGTGTTTACATATAATAAAATTGTTTATTATTATTTAGTTTTTTAATTATTGATTTTTTTAGAAAGGTAAATAAATGGCACTATCACTGGTGGCATGTGTATATTCAATGATAAATAATCATGCTATTTTTAAAATCCTTAATTTTTCAAAAAAGTACTTAAATTTTTCACAAAAAAATGTGGTAACCCTGTATAAGGATTAATAATAATTATAAATATTATGCTTTTATCATTAATTTATTTTTTGATTAAAAGTCTGTTGATAAAAAGCATTATTATTTTGTTATTTAACTTCATTTAATAAGTATGGATTGGTTTTAATTAAATATAGATTTTTTTATATATTTATTTGTTAGTTTCTTTATAGAATGATTTGATAATTAGTGTTACAAATGTTTTTTTAATTGTTTTCTTTTTAAATTAATATCTCTCAAGTAAATTTTAAAATCTTATTGATGCTTACCTTCCCATGATTTTTAATCATTGCTAATATATTGGGTTTTATTAGTTGTTCATTGCATTGATTAAATACGATTTAACCTCAATTGTGCACAGATTATTTATGTATCATATTATTATTTTTTGTAACAAAAACTTTCTGCTTGTAAATAAATGCTTTTCCTTCAAAAACAAAAACAAATTATTGCACACTAAGTTTCCTTAGTCTTATTTTTCCCTTTCAGTCACATTTATAGTTCATGTTATTTCTAATTATTTAAATCACCGGATTTTTTTTTTTAAATAAAAATTATTTATTACTGCTTTTTTAGAGTTGTGATTTTATTTATAATTTTATATTACATGTTTATTAAGTGTAAATTTTGTTTAATTTTTTTTTTAAAGAAGCATCCTTCAATTTTACCTGAATCTACCTAGAAAAGTCAGGAAAAAAATTTATCTTCTTTTAGAGCAAGAACTCTGTTTATATTTTCAAATTAATTATTGTTAGTTTTTTTTTTTTTTTAATAGAATGTTTTAATCTTTTTTGATCAACTTAAAACCCATTGTCCGAAATAATCTATTTTCTAGACTCGTCAAAATCCCGACAGTTCGGAGTATAGGACTTTCCACTGTATCTATAATTTAACAATAAAATTAAAATACTTTTGTGCGTTGTCAATCTATCATTGATATAAATAATTTTTTTTTTAGTTATACAATTTTACTGTGGCAATAAGTCAAAGTAATTTAATTTTTACAAATTGAATTAATGCATGTTTTTAATATTGGCAAAATTTTAATGAATACATGCTTTATTAAAAGCCTTGTCTAGTGCGCTAACAGCACCAAAAAACACTCCTTGTGAAAGTTATGTATGAAATGGCTTTTTAGTTTCTTTTTCTTTTTTTTTTGCATGTTTTATATTTTATTGCTAATGCTTTAATCACTATCAATTTTCCTTGGAACAATGACTTTTATTAAAACTTTAAATATATAGTTTTAATCTTTGCTTTTTTACTGAGTATTTCTTATCAACTTTATGTTTTATAATTGTTTCCTTACTAATTACAGGCTTGTGTCCTTATTAAAAGAAATTCACTCTGGAAAAAAATCAAATAAGGTATATTACTACTTTTTGAACTAATTTGCTTTTATTATATTGCTTATCTAATACAGCTGTTGCAGTTTTCTTAGAAATATGCAATTTGTTTCAGAGATGTACTCTTTATTTGAGCTCATATTTTACTTTCCAATTATACAATTTATATGGTTTTGCTTTAATTGTGTTGCATTATCTTTAATGAGAAATAGAGTTATGGTTAAAGCTATTGACCTATATCTACTATATTCTTCAATGAAATATGTTTTTTTATGTACATATAGTGTACCTGTAAGCAAAGTTGTTACATAGATATTTTAAGTATTGTATTTACACATGTACATTGTATTTACATACATATGTATATACATAAGTACATTGTTTATGCTTACTTACTATTATTGTACATTCAAACAATGTATGTACTTGGTTTAAATACATGCATGTATATGTGTATAAATCGTATTCTACATGCATACAAACCATATATGTATGTACATACAAACGTACCTGCATACATACATGCATTTTATTTAAAAAAACTATGTCTATATAATGTACCTATAAAGAACGTTCTTGCATATACTTGCGAGCTATTACGATACATTAATACAATGTATGAACTTGCGTACATTAATGCATGTATATACATTATATTTACATATGTACATACATATAATGTCTATGTATACATACATATATTGTCTATGTATACATACAAAACATACATTTGCATACATGTCTGCATGTATCGTACATAATTATGCATGTAAATATTGTACAGACAAACAACATTTGTGCATACCAACATTGCATATATATATTGAAATCTCAAATTGCATTTACATGTGTACATTCTATGTACATAAAAATATGTATGCCCATGCATACTTGCAAACTGTCTTTGCACAAAGTGTGAATCATATTTGTTTGTAATCTTACATTTACAGTAATTAATTATTGTGGTCATTATAGCAGCTGTAATCAAATTTCTGATGAGCTGTAATCACAATTACAGCTGTAAGTAAAGTTGTGGTCATTACAAGTAATTAATTACTGTAATCGATTGCATTTTTGTCACTTTAATTAAACTTCTTTTTTTTTTATTTGCGCAATGTGGTTAAAAAGAAGAGAAAATAAAATTATCTGTAACAGAAATATTTCATTCTAGGTTTTGGTATTTGCTCAGACAAAAAGAACAGTTGATTACTTGGGAGCAAAATTAAATCGTTTAGGGTAAATATTTTTCAAAGTTTATTAAATGATATCTTTTAAAAAATCACTTTAATTTGATTCATGTTCATTTCTCCTAATTTTAGAATAATTTATTATTATTAGATGATTCCCTCGTTTCTCTTAGTTAAATATTTCATTGAACTGTTATATATTTCCAGTGTAATAATTTCACATAAAATTATTCTTAGCAAACTTTTTTTATCAACTTTACATTTGTTCAAAATTGTTGCACTATGTATATCTACCACTGCAAAAATACAATTCCAAGTCACTAGTATATAAGACATGTTAACTCGATTCTATGTTGGGGTACCTTTTCATAGATGACGGTTGACATTGTTGATTACTCCTCGCCGCACAGTCCTGTATTATTTGAACCATTCATTTACTCTGATTTGAGTAGTAGTTAATTTACGTCGCACTAGAGCTGCACAATGGGCTATTGGCGACAGTCTGGGAAACATCCCTAAGGATGATCCGAAGACAAGCCATCACAATTTTGATCCTCTGCAAGGGGAATACTCTGATTTGAATAGCTGAATATGTTTATTCAAAAATATTCTAATTACAATTCTTAACTTCACTTTTTATTTAAATTTTAAAACTTATTCTTTTTCATTTGAATATCATATCGATCTTTGCAAGGGAAAAAACATTTATGTATTACTTACAGATATTTGCTGTGTTAAATTTATCCTCTGTTTTGTTAAGCAATTTTTCTTTTTCCAGAATAAAGTCTTACACTTTACATGGTGACATCTCCCAAACAAAGAGAGATTTTGTCCTGAATCGTAAGTGTTATATATATTTTTCTGTACTTATATTTGTGTCGAACAATGTTATCGTATTGAAAGCATAAATAATTATTATTAATATGGTTGACTATCGTTAAGTTGAGTTCGTACTATTTTTTGTCCCCTTTTATGTAATCATATCTAGTTATTTCATTCGTATGAATGGCACATGATCACTCTTTTGGTTTCTATATTTAGCAAACTATACCATTTTCAGCTTAGCTTCCTTGAAATTTTTCAATTTTGCCATCATTAGTCGCCACCAAATCATTCTTGGTTTTCCCTTTCTTACGCAGGTTGTGTAACGTTTTTAAAAGGTGCTTATTTTTGATTTACGTTTTTCTAAAACCCTTAAAGGTACTTTTTTTATTCAGGGTTTGTAAAAAGTGCTTTTTTTTCTACCTTTTAAAAAGAGTTGTTTTTTTTTTCGTCGTGCCTATTCTTGTTCCAATTTACAAAAAATACATGATTTTCACAATTTTTTGTGCAATATTTATCAGAAACTAGTTATTTTATCATGATTATGTAAAGTTTTTGAAAATGTTTGTGAATTTTATTGATTTTATGTTTATAAATTAAGAACTTTAAACGATGGGAAAAAATTATTATTACTGCACAGATCTTAATTATGATTGTTTTTTTTTTTTTTTTTTGGAAAGTGGTTAAAAATATTTTTGGAGTGCTTAAAAAGTACTTAGCAGGTGCTTATTTTTTGTTGAAAAATCTGACTACACACCCTGTTACAGGGTTGCCACTTCACAGGGAAAACCTGGAAAAAAACAGGGAATTAAAAAAAATCACCTAAAGTAACAGTGAAACTGGTGGGAATTTCATGGTTTTCTTAACAAACTGGGAAAATACAGGGAGTTTTGTTTCTTATTTTAGTCTTTTAAAATAAGGTGATTACTCAGAGTGTAATCTATGGAATATTTAAGTATATTTTAGCTATATTAAACTATTTCATTTACTACGGCATTATTTAAGTATGTTCAGCTGTTCCTTTTTTTTTCTCTTAAGTTTTTCCAACAATTAAAATTAGTATAGTTAGCTCAATATAGCTCACACAAGAGCATAATAATTGTGTTTCCTCTGAATATAGTGTATATAATGTGTACAGGGAAAGCATGTTTTTTCAGATTGAGTGTCAACCAGTCTTATTATTACCATTCTCACTATGTGTCCTGACTCTTTCCACTTTCTCTCTTATTGATTTCATCTTCTATTGATTCTAATATTGTTTCATTTCTAATTTTAACAGACCAAGAGATTTCGAAAAACCTCAAATTTTTGAATGTCTGACTTTCTAAGGCTCCCTGTTTCAGAGTCATGTAATAAAATTGCTTTAAGTATTGTTTCATAGATATTTATTTTCATTCTGTATAGAATGGTTGTTGAGGTTTTTTAAAAGAGACGTTCTTACATGAATGACTCTTTTTAATGTCTATTCCTCAATTTAATTTAATAAGTACTCCTCAACTACTGTGAAGGACAGAATTGACATAGATGAATTCTTTTAAATTTTCGTCTTTGAGATTTTGCATTAATTCTCATAGTTTGGGTTTCCTTTTTATTTATAAGCAATATAATATTTGCCATATTTATTAAATGTGTCTTGTTATGAGGGTGTTTCTTGACGACATAAGCACAATTCCATTGACAAAACCTTGGTCTTCTAGGACAGTATCGTATCTCTCATGCAATTGTGTATGTCTGATAATCTTTTTAAGGTACAGTAGAAAATCGTTTCTCTATTTTTAATTGTAAATGACAAATACGGAAAAACAACTAATGCATTGTAAAAAAGATTTTAAAATTACTATGAGAATAAAATTTAAAATTACATACTTACTGCTGAAATATTTACAATAAACAATGTAGAAATTTTGATATGAACATTTTTATATCTTTCGCAACGCAAACGAAATTTTTTACTATTATTATCTTGTAATTTTTTCTTTGAAATTTTCTTTAAAAGCTTTGAGCTGTTGGCACTGGTTGTGATCGTCATTCGATACGTTTCACACTTGTTCAGTTTTAAAATTATGTAAATTTTGTAACTGGTGCATAAACAAGATGTTAGAGGCATTTTCTTCATCAGAAGTTAATTTGTTTCTTCACAAAATGAAATGAATCGATTTTTTTTTCCTTTGTAAATATCAGTAAGATTTCTTCACGATAAATGCCAGAGTTTAAAAAATTATATGAAGAAGTATTTTTAAGATTGACCAGCTAAATAAAAGATGTGGGTAGTACTCTAGGATAGCCTATTACAAACAGTAACCACTTTCAGAGTGTGACAGGGTTGTTGATAAAATAAATTCTTTTGCGAAAAAATTTTACATATTTTAATTAAATCATTTTTTATTTTAATAATTTCTTAAAAATCACATTAATTTTAAGTTGTACAACATACTGGTTACTTCTTTCTTAAAAAAATACATAGTAAATGAACATTTAAGGAATATAATAATTTAAAAATATTTACAAACTCAATATATGTTCATACATGTTTGCTACCTCTTCATTAAACTTACTTTTCCTAAGTAAGATTTTTACTTGTTGAGGCAAAGTAAAGGGATAAAGTATTTTTTTTAACTCATAATTAGGGTTCACCCCAGCAATCAAAATTTAGTGATCCAAAAAATTAATATAATCGACAAACTTGAGACAAAAATTCAAACAATTACATAATCCATGTTATGGTACACATCAAAAATTATTTATTACCATTGTAGTGTATCTACCACTACAAAAATACTATTCTAATTCACTACTAGCATATAAGACATGTAAACTCGATACAATATTGGGATACCTTTTCATAGATGAAGGTTGACATTGTTGATATCTACTCTCCCCACATTGGTGACCGGGACGCGGTGTGAACAAACCTACTTCGATGGATGGTCCATGTTGAACTGCAACATTATCCATCTCCTCACGCTGTTGCTTCTCAATCTCGATCACACATAAAGTACAATGTATACACTCGATTGCTTAAGGCAGCGCCTGATCTTAATACTGCTCTTATGATCAGCTCTTAAAAAGTACGGTGATCTTAATACAGCTCTCCCAGCTTCCCACGAAATGGCAATGATTCAACTAGTGGTATCCATGCATCAAAATCTATCACAGCTATAATTCCGGTGGGGGAGTACTGTATTGTGCCATTACAAAAATACAATTCCAATTCACTAGTATATAAGGCATGTGAACTCTGTTCTATGTTGGGTTATCTTTTCATAGATTAAGATTGACATTGTTGATATCTACACTCCTCGCAGTGAATCACTGTGTAGTGAAAATTACGCATATTCACAAAATTTTAAAAATCACACTTCACATTTTATGGATATATTTTAAAGAAAATAAAGCTCAGTAAGTCTTCATTAGTTATCTGTGAAATATTGTTCTACAATAGATTTTATTCTGCTCAAAACGCATTACTGATATTCTGAAGTAACAAAATAGAAAATTTGATATTGAAACAGATATGTTAAATTGATAATTTATCTAATTATATACATTTCCTGTAACCTGAAATTTGATCTAACATATTTTTAAAAAAAGTATATTTTAATAACCGTGCAATTATGCAAATTTTATCAATTATTTACAATGCTTATTTGAAAGAAACTGAATGTATAATATGCGTTATACATTCATTCAGTTTCATTAATTCTAATTCACGTCATTAAATTTTTCATGAAAAGTTTCACTGATGCTAGATTTCAAATGTTGGCTAGTATCCTATGTCAATTGGAGTTTTTTGTTTTTATCAATTGAAATTTTTCTAAGTGATTTGAAACAGCAATGTAACTATCAACCATTTGTATTATTAGCTGATAAATTTAGTAAAAAAAAAATTTGGTTGTCAAATAAGCATTGTGATTTAAAAATACACAATTTCTGTTTCTACGTAATTGTAAAATCTGGTTGACATGTACTTTAGCATATAACAATAATACTGAATTGGTCCTTGAAAATTTTGATTTTAGGTCCTTGAAAGTCATTGAAAAGTCCTTGAATTTTTAAAAAAAACTTAGTGGGAACCCTGGTAAATTTAAAATTTCAACATTTAAAATGTTTATGTACCTGACACTTACAGTTATTTATTTTAATACCACACATTTGAAATCCATACCACTCGTAGAACAATAAATCTTGTACAACAATTTTTTTCTTTTTTTTAAATGCATGAAATTAGATTTTTAAAAAAAACTAATTTAGTTACTTTTTTGTAAATTTCAAATATATTTCAAGGTTGTGCAAATTTTTCGTCCATGCGTAGGATTGCAGTGCATTTGTGGAACATTTGGCGATAATTGTCCCCATACCGCTGTGAACCTTTCTCATGATTAGTGAAAGTATTAGTAAAATACCTGTTTTGGTAGAAATAAAATGAAATTTCAAAGGAAAAAAAATATTGCAGTAGGATGCAGTAATATGTAAAAATATGATCTGTATACTATTGTAAATTTTAAAGTATTTTTAAATGAAAATAACAGAAATCTTTATTTGAGTAAAACAAATGGTAAGGAATCTGAAATTTTTTAATCGCTAGTTAATAACTTAAATTTAATAGAATTTTATGTTCTAACAAATTTCACATACTCAATGTCTTGTAATTTTAAGTTTGCATTTTAATTAAAATATGTTTTAAGCTGGATTGAATTTTTTCAACTAAAATAAAATCATTTTAATCTTAAGCTGTGCAAAAAGTCATTGACATGTTCTTAAGCCTTAACTTTTTGAACTGATTAAGGGCTGTGTCGCATGTTTTTAACCAAAAAAAGAATACAGAGCATTCACCAAATGTTGCTTTTCAATAACTGCTAACATGAAAGTAAAGAGAAAAAAATTACTTTTTCTATAAAACAATTCAGTTCCAAGGGGAAAAAAGTGCCAAATTAATATACCAATAGAATTCTTAAGAATTACTTAAACAAAATCTTAACAAATAAATTCACTTTATGGAATCATTATTAATTTATAATTGTTGAATAATCATAAGATAGTAAAGAGTAACATACTCTTTAATAATTATTCTTAGCAATAACTTATTTATCTAAGCTTCTTCCAGATTAAGTAATTTCTCAAAAATTATAATATCATATTAAATACAAAAGTAAAACAATTAAAAAGTTTAAAATTAAGAGGATATTCTGAGAAAAAAAATTATTTTAAATGAAAATAAAATTATTGTTAATCAAAAGTGATTACTAAAATGTATGTGTGGTAATATTTTCATGTAACCCCAGATTTTAAAAACCTTGAAAACTGCTGAAAAAAAAATCTATAGGACCTGTCTGAATTAAGAATAGAATTGTCATGAAGTCAAAAAGTTCTAGCTGACATATACAATTTGGAGTTCACATGGGGAAATACTATTGTATTCAATTCAAAACTTATTTTTTAAATGTAAAAAAAAAATAATGAAGATTTTAAATAAGCAATACAACGGTCATTTAGTAAGTAAATCATTGCAAATCAAGCAAGTAAAAAAATAACTACTCAGATCTCCTATTCGAAATTTGCATATCCTAATACAATCATACTAAAAATACCTGGGATATTATACATGAAACAATAATTGCCAAAAAAAAAAATCATGAATTTACAATGGAACGGTGCAGTGTGTGTCAATAGCAAATTTAGAATAAAATCAAAATTGAATATAATCAAAAATTGATTTCTCAGACGCACAATTCGACAATTTATGGTAAAAGGTTTTGTTTATTGACATCTGTTACAATTCCTGAAAAAGCGAGTGACAAAGCTTAGTTTTCCTAAATCAAATTTATCAAACAACAATTGTTCAAAGATGTGATTTAATATTCAGTTGTTGTATTATCATATTATAAACAGCTAGATTTTAAATCAGTGAAAATTCATAAAAGAAACTGCCAAATAAACAATCAAAACAGGACATGGAGTATGAGGATATTATATTCTTTTATAGTAGGATGTATAACATGGTCACCACTTTTGCCATCTGAAGTTTGTTATTTGGTAGCCATTTTCTATGCAATGGTTGCGACTGTTAATCTAGGTTGAACTGTATTGGTTGAACTATGAGTAGCAATAAATGCATATTTTTTTCTTATTTCATCAATTTCATGATTTATTTTGAAAATATGTACATATTTAATCTCTAATTTTATCAAAATATTTCAGAATTTCGATCTAGAGATTGCATTTTGATTGCTACTGATGTTGCAGCTCGTGGACTAGGTAATTAATATTTTAAATTACATTTCTGTTATCTGTAAAAATTACTAAATTTCGAATAATTATTTATTTAATTCTAATTGCATAAACTCAATTCAAAAATAGTGTGCAAAATGTAGAATTCGATTGTAAAACATCAAAAAGTTACTTTTTAAAATTTTGAGTTTCATGTAAAGGTATCATTAACAACATTTAGCCAATCAGGTCAGCAAATTCTTTTTCCTTTTTTAAGCTGCTTTCTTTTTTAAAAAGTGGGAGAAAACTGAATACATTTTATAACTGTTTGAGAAAACATCATTTTATTATCTAATGTTTTTGTTCTTAGATATCAGAAATAAATATTTATAACTGTTCATTTAAACTCTTTTTAATTCCAAATTTTCTTACTATAGGAATTTTTTTATTTACATATTCATACATTTTATGTTATAGAGCACATTTTATTCATAAAGGGGTGGTTGACAATCAGCCTATCTAAACGTGTACTCAATGCTGAAGGTTTTTGTAGACTTTCATTTTCTTAACTCTCTATTAAAGTGGAGTGGAAATAAATTGAAAATAAGAAAGAAAATTTGTTAAAAGTTCATTTTAATACTTTTGGAGTATTACTAAATTTTTTTAAAAAAATACTGTTGCTATAATAATTGCTTATTATAACATTTTTATAGTCTAAATTTTAAATTGCTTCCATTCGAATGTAAACTAAAATATGTCTCAATTCTACAATCAATTAATCAAAGCAATTACTTTTTAAATAATTACTTAATTATAGCATATACTTTTTGAAATCGAAAATCTTCAAATCTGATTTTTTTTTAACAGTTAGCTAAATAAGCTCTAAATTTTTCCTTACTTGTATCCAGGGTTGGGTTTTTGACGTCAAAAAGTGGTTTTTGACATGACAAGGGTATAATACTGGTTTAAACCGTCAAAAATGTCGAAAACTGAAGTTTGCCAAAAAAAATATATAAACTTCAAAACAGTTGCCATGCATTATATTGAAATTTAATTATACTATAGGTAATCAGCAGGTTTTAAAATATTTTTTAATTAAAATTAAGGTAAAATAACAGATTTAAAATCTCAGAAATTTATATTCAAATGCATGTGCAGAAAAATTTTGCACAAAAATT